AAGCTATTAGATCATTTGAATCTTCATATGGCATGATTCCAAGCTCATTAAATTTCAATAAAAAAGTTTTAAAAATTAATGGCACTAAATACGATGCAACTGCAACTAAAAAGTTAATTAAAAAATTGTCAGGTTCTGTTCTTCCATCATTTGCTGATAAACTTATTAAAACAACAGAAGTTGATTATAAAAAGAAAACAAAACATTGGGAGCATTTGTGTGTTTTTGGAAGTGATAAGAAAACAGAGAGTCAATTAGTTTATTCATCTAATTTTACGTTATTAAAAATTGAAAGTAATAAAGAAGGAGATGGAACAGTTCAAAAAGAGAGTCTTAAGTTATGCAAAGAAATGGGGGCTGATATTTTAGAAATTGAAGGAGCTGGACATGTTGATATTTTAGAAAATAGAAAATTAATTAAAAAGATTCAAAAGAGTGTTTGTAAAACAGAAGATTATAAGGCAATTCCAATGGGCTTTGTTGAAAAAACAGTGAAAGTAATAGGGAAATTTATTGGAGCATTGTTGAAATTTGTGAATACTTTCTTGGATGACTAATTCAATAAATTTTTCTGATTTTTAGTTTGAAAATAAAAAAGGGTTTTCCAATTTAAAAAAAAAAGAGGAAAAGAGATAAAGAAAGATTCAAATCTTATTATCAATAGAATGGACAGGATTGAGAAGTTAATCATTGACACTCGGACAGTTGAAAAAGATGGTACTAAGTACGAATATATCATTTTAAAGAAAACACTACACCCAAAAGATGAACAAACAGAACCTCTTATTGAAAAAATTAAAATGAATAACGATAATACAAAACAAGTAAAAGAGTCAAAGAAGATAACTGAAACTCCAAAACCTAAAATTATAAAAAAAGAAAGAAGAAGTAAAACCCAAAAGAAAAAGAAGGAAAGAAATGAGAATGAAGAAGAAAGTTCTACTCAAATTCAAAAAGTATTAACAAAATATGTTCCAGGATCATCGGTTGTTTCATTACAAAAAACATTTAAATATTTTGTACCATCAAAAGAATTATTCTTTAAACATTATCCAGAACAACCTATGTACCTTGTTAAATGGCAAAATTTTTCAATTGTAGAATCTACTTGGATTCTTGAATCAGAAGCAACTAAAAAAATTGATAAACGTGGACTTATTGAAAAATTTAATAAGAGGTGGACTTTACCACAAATAGGTTCTGCAGCAAAAACAGAACATATTTTAAAAGAAGTATTTCCATTAACAGAAGAATCAGTACCAGCTAACGATTTAGTACCAGAAAAAATTATATTAGAACTACCTCAAAAAGATGAAAATGGATTACCAATTCTTATGTATAGAGTTAAATGGTTAGGAAAAGAGTTATTTCTTAGTGATGAATTAAGTTCATTTTTTGACAAAGAGAGAAACAAAAGTTTACTTCAAAGATGGAAATTTGAAAGAGGACCATTTCCATTAGAATTAAATGAATACCAACAACAAACTATTGATGAAATAAAAAAAGGAATAGATGATAATAATGATATTATTATTTCAGGTGGATTTGGTAAAAGAACAAGTGTATTAGCATTTATATCAGAACAAATTTGTCAGTCAGAGAATGGGGCATCATGCCTTATTATGTGTACAGAAAAGAGAATGGACTATTATAAAAATCAATTACCATATTTATTTCCTGGTGTTCCATTAACATTTATTGATCATTTCCCACGTGACGAAAATGTAAAATCAGTAATTGATATGGAACTATATGATGAAAATGGTAATATCAAACCACAAATTGTTGTTTTTTCATGCAAATCATTCATATTTAAAAAAACTTCGAATTTCAAATATGGAATAATTGATATCCAAGAACCAAATCATATTACAATTAAAAGTACTAGAATTAGTTTATGTAATCATATTATTGGAATAACTGATGATGAAAAAGTTTATAATAAAATGAAATTTTTAATGAAAATTAAAGGAAAAGGAGAAATTAGGATAATTGAAATACCACAATACGAAGAACCAAAAGTTAGTAGTATTTTTATTTTAATAAAAATGCAACAAAAACAAACTGCTGCATACCTTCAAACAGAAGAAGAAGTTAAAGGGTGTGAAGATGTTTCAATAGAGGATATGAGAAGAGTATTATTATTTCCAAGTATATCATCTTATTCTATTGGTATTAAAGGAGTTAAAATGACTCATGTACAAAAGATAGTTAATTTCCTCATTGAGGTAAAGAAAAAAGTAGCAATATTAAGTCCAATTCCTCAATTACTTGAAGCTTTAAAACCATTAATTAAATGTGAGTTGATTGGATGGGATAATGAAATAAGTCAAAGTAAACGTATGTGTGAAGAATTTAATAAAAATGAATCTACTAAAATATTAGTTGATACAAATTGTAATTCTCAAGGGGTTGATCTTTCTGGATCAGATTATATTGTTTTATTAGACAGCGATTATACAGAAGATAAAATTGAAGAGATTAAACAAAAAATGAGAGTTGGAACAAAAAAAAGTATTAAAGTATTATATTTTGTTATTACGAATACTATAGATGAAACTATTGCAGTTGCTTCAAGAACTTCATCAATTATAGCTAAAGAACAATACTTTTCAATATTAACTACAACAATGATAACTGTAGATCAATTAATTAATGAAATTATTTCAACAACAGAAAAAACAAAAGTAATTAAATTAGGAACTGAAGAAGAAATTAAAGAATTTAATGAAGCAAAAGAAAAAGAAATGAAAAGAATAGAAGAAAAGAAAAATAAAGAAAATAAAACTAAGAAGATTGAAAGAAAAAAAAGAAAAATTGATGACGTTGATATAAAAGATACATATAAAGAAGAAAGAAAAAGAAGAATTGAAACATTTTTAAATGAAGTAAGACTAAAAAAAATAAATGAATTAAAAGAAGAAAATGTTTCATTTATATTAGATGAAGAAACAAAACAATTAATGAAAAAAATACAAGAAAAATTAAAAGAAAAATTTGATGAAAATGAAACAAATAAAATAAGTAAAACAATTATATGTTATTTACTTAGATTTGGAACAAAAATTGATGAAGAGAATATGATATTATTTAATAAATATCCTATAGATGTTGAGTTATATTCTGAACAAATAATAAAAGAATTAACAATGAATGATATTAGTGAAAAAATTAAAACAAATGACTTGGCTTATAGAAGAATTTTTGAAACAGTTAGTAATATGCAAAATAAAATGGAAGAAATTTATGAGGATGATAAACAAAATCCATGGAATAGTACCTGTGATTTAGTATTATTAGAAGAAATTAAAAGAATTGGATTAGAGTGTCCTAAAATATGGATTAAAAATCCTTTTCTTCAAATTAGTATGATAAAATTTGGAATAAAAACAGAACAAGAACAAATAACTTTTGTTGAATCAAGATATAAATCATTAATTGGTTTAATTGAAAAGAAAATCTCAATGGATAATGAAAATAATGAAGAATATCAAGAAAAACGTGATATAAAAGAATCTCAGAATAATAGCACTATTGAACAATCAACTCCTTTTAATAATAAGTCTGAATCTTATCAAATACAAAAGAAAATAGAAGAAGATGAAGTTGAAATAATTTCAATGTCAAATAATCAAATACCTTCAAACGATAAAGAATTAACAACCCAAGAAAAAAATAATTAAACTCCTTTTTAAGAATAAAGTATTCTTTAATGAAAAACATGTTAAACAAAAATTAACAACAATTAATATCCATCATTTGCATGATTTTTTTGAATCAATGAAGGTGTTTCTAATCGTCCTTCATAATTTTTAATTGAAGGTACAGTTGTGCTAAATCCTTTCAAAGCAGCCTTTTGAATAGCTCGTTTATGTTTGTATAAATAACCATTCGGCCCATTATATTCACCATGGTAATAATCACAAATTTTGTTTATTGGATCTGTTGAAGGTTTATCACGAATTGGAGTACGACTAATTTTTAAATAATTAAATGGAGAAGATTTTCTTGTTTTAAGATACATAGCCAATCTATTCATTCTTTGTTGTTCAATATTAAATACATGTTTTAAGTATAAAGGATATGGATCACCTTTTAAAGCACCTTCAGATAAAGTGTTCATTAATTTTTTATTTCGTTTAATTTGAGAATCAATTTGGTTATTATAACCATCAAGTAGTTGTTTAACTAATCGTCTTCTTTCTGGTAAAATCGAACCAATGGAAAAAGAAATAAAAAGATATAAAGGAATTAGACTTTTCATCTGATTTAATACAATATGAATTTTTAGTTTTTATAAAAAATTTAATAAAAAATATGTCAAATTAAGACAATTTATTTAAAACCACATATCTCCTTCTTTATTTTTAAAAAATCCTGGAAGTTGACCAAAATTCTTTTTATCTTCTGGAGATGATGTGTAATACATTACTGAACTTTTGCTATAACTTCTCATATTTCCTTTATTAATTTTTCGTGTATGCTCATAGTTATATCCATTTCTACCAAAGAAGTTACCATTAAGTTCATCACTAACATGTCCAACTTGTTTCATGCTTCTTTTAATTGGTTTAGAATATACTGACTGTACTCTTATTGGACGTTTGTGTTTATTATGTTTTTTCTTTTCTTTAGTAACTTTCATCATTTTATTGAAATATGAAGCATAAGACTTTTGACCAGGCTCTTGTTGAATAAGAGCAGTAGAAGAAGGTTGTTCTTCATCAGCAATTGCATCGACTTGTTTTCTTTGTTCTCCTTTCAACTCATCGATAATTTCTTCTTGTTCAGGAGTGATAGCATAAATGTTTAATACAATAAAAAGAAGTAAAAAGTGTGTTTTCATTGTAAATAATAAAATAAAGTTTTTAGATACAGCAAATTAAGACAATAGTTCTGATGACGTGTTTCTACAAATTGATGAGTTTTATATATCTAAAAATAAAATCCAATAACATAAAAAATTCACTTTTATTAAGCTCCTTTAGTTCTGGAAACTCCAACAGTTCTTCCTCTTCTTCCAGTAGTCTTAGTGTGTTGACCTCTGACTCTCAATCCCCAATAATGTCTAAGACCTCTGTGAGCTCTCATTTTCTTAAGAGCTTCAATATCTTCTCTAAGTCTAGTTTCAACAGCATTAGCAATAAGTTGAGAGTCTTTACCATCTTTATTATCTTTTTGTCTGTTTAAGAACCAAACTGGAATTTTGTAGTTAAGTGGGTTGTTAAGAATATCAACAATCTTTTCAATTTCAGCTGGGGTCATAAGACCAGCTCTCTTATTGACATCAATACCAGCTCTTTTACAAACAAGGTATGCATATCTTCTTCCACATCCCTTAATACCAGTGAGAGCATATGGAACTTTTCTACGACCATCAAGATTGGTGTTACAAACACGGAGCATGTGTTGGAATTCTGATTCTGAAGTAACAGTAGCCTATTCAATAAATACCAAATAACATAACAAAATGATAAACGAAATTACAAAAGATGAAAGAAACAAACCATTTGAGCTCTCCTTTACAAATTTCCAGTTCAAAGGGTTTATCTTTTTCCTTTTCATTTCTTCAAAAAAACGAAAAAATATAGTTTTTTAATATTAATTCTAAACTATAAAAAAATAGTTAAATAAATTATATTATAATAGTAAAATTAAATTAAGACATAGTTTAACCCTAGAATATTTAAATGAATATCTTCATTTAACATTATTATGTCACTGTGATGAAGCTTTTATCCAATCCTCTGAACATCGTTGATATTTACTATGTGGATATTAATGTTGACTTCTGAGTGACTATTATTCAAAATCAAATATTTTATCAAATATTGATTTACCCAGTGATGGAAAACATTTGGTCTGATTTATCTTTGATGATTTATTTCACCAAGATCTCTGAGGGTAAATTAATATTCCATATTTTCTTTTTTGTTTTTCTTATGATATTCTTCTTTTCATTTTGAGTTTTTTAAATTTGAAAAATTTTTATTTTGAACATAATTACTTGAATAATTTCATTTTGTAATTTTTATTTTTTTTGTTTGTTAATTTATTTGTATTTTGGTTAATTTTTGTATTTTTAATAATAAGTAGTTATATCAAAAATGGATTTAGTAATTTTTTCTTCATAAAAGGAGTATGTTTTACTATTACTTTATTTAAAAATACTTTTATTGGATTCATTTTATGAGTTAATGGTGATTCACTCTACTTTGATATAAATCGAGAGAACTATTTGAAACTTTACCAACACTTAAAAAAAGGAAAAAAAAAACTAATAAAAAGGAATTAATTAAGTATTAATAGAACTTGTGTCTATTGTTCCTAAATCAGCGGAGACTAATCTTGTCAATGAGTCTTCGTCATGTAATTCAACATCATATGTTTGGTTGTAGTAGAAACAATGTTCCATAACATCCATCATGTTTTTAATTACAATGTTTTAATTTTTTTTATGATGTCAATTTCTATTTTTAATTCTTTAATTAATTTAATACTTTCTATATTTACTATTTAATTTATTGAAATTATTACTGGAATTATTTTGATATCTTTTATTTTCTATATTTTAATTACAATATTCTTTATTTCTTTATACTTATTTCTTTTCTTCAAATACCCTCCATTAATATTGTGATATGCAACAATATTCATTTAAATTATTAGATCAGTTTTATTCTTTTTATTTATTACATATATATCTGATATTTTATGATATTATTATTCACTTTTTGATATTATTTATTTGTTCAATATCATAGTGATGTCATTGTATTTGAACATTGTTTCATATGTTTATTTCTTGTATTGTTTATTTCATTTATATTTTCTAATTAATTAATTGATAATACCAATATTTTTATGTTTCTCAATTTATGAATTTTTATGAAAAATACAAGATAATAGAATATATTCTATTGTTGATATCTTGTATTTATAAAGCGTGTAGTATTTTAATCATTCATTTTTTAATATTTTATCTTTTCTATACATATTGAATATTACACCATCTTGTATTTTATTTAAATGGAGAAATGGATTCTTTTTAATATTGATTGACTTCAATACATTGATTATAGTATTTTTATCTATCAATTTTGAATTCATCAATCTTCTAAAATATCCAATTATTTGATTTCAATTTAATGATATATTTGTTTATCATTATTTTATTTATTTTTCAAATCACAAATATCAAAATATAATTTATAACAAGTTTATATTTAATATAATATTTATCTTTTTATCTTTTATACTTTCTTCTATCATTATTAATATGTTGTATTTTAATATTTCATTTCTATTTTAATTCTTTCATTTCTCTTTCTGTTTTATTATTTAATTTAAAATTAAATTAATTTGAAATATTATTATTATTGAAATTAAATAAAGAAGATTGAAGAGAGAAATAATCAAAAGAGAAAATGAATAAAATAACAACAATGGATTGAAATATTTTTATAAATGAAAAAATGAATAAAATATTATTTAATTTAGTTTATTTATTGTCATTATATGATGATAATAATCATACTATTTCATTTAATAATAGAAATGAAGAAATATAAAGTAAAATGAATAAAAAAGAAAGAAGAAGATAAAAGAAGAAATGATATAAATTATTGAAAATATCAATAAAATTGAAATGATAAATAATAAATAATGTAAATAAAATAATAAATATAAAATGAATAAATAAAATAACAAATCAAATTTAATGTAAATAAAATAAATATAAACAAATCACCAAATAAATAAAGAATGAAATAAGAGAATATAAAAATAATAATATAATAATAAAATAAGATATAATCATCTTATTTTATATTAGATGATATTTTATTATTTTATATTTGTTTATATTGTTAGTTTATATTTTATTATTATTATTATTTATTGTTGTTTATCTTATATCATTTATTTATTATATGTTGTATTGTTATTTATCATTGTTAGTATGAAATGAATAATAATGAATAAATATAAAATAAGAATCAAATGATATAAGAATATAACATAAAAAATAAAATAAGAAATATATAATAGATATAAA